ACTCACGTCTACATGTCACCACAGTAGGACAAACCGACAGACAAGTTTGTCTTGCTGTTGGAGACCTCTCGTATCACCCCCAACTGGGTCCCTGTGGCTGACTGTACCTCTGTCTGGCTTCCTGGCTTTTAATCCCCTTTCTCCTGCTCTTCTGGCCTGCTGCTTTGGGCGTCCCTGAGTTGTCCCTGGGGCTGACTCTCCTGTTATATAGTATAGTGAAAGTTCAGGCCTCAGAGACTTTGAGGTTAAATAAAAGAGAAGGACGATCTAAGATGGTGAGGTATATAGTAGATACACTCTCCAGACCCTCTACAACAAAGACTCAAGAAACCAAGTGAAATGGGATATGGATGACAGTCCTGGAACCCAGAGCTTCAGATGATACAGAAGTAGATCATATACTGATAAGAAGAAGAGACTTAATGAAAACAGAACAAGGAGGCATATGGAGCAGTAAATTGCCAACCATTTTGAATTCTTGTAAATGGTGTTAACAATCAGAGCAGGAACTGGATAGCCGGCTCTGCTTGCCCAGAACTGCCCTAGTGCTCACATAAGTGATCAGTGATTAGAGAGGTGTGATCTTTCCCCTTACACGCACAACTTGCTGGTGACCAGAGGCATGGCTCCCCACCCAGTCATCAGACCACTCCTCCATGGCCCGTGCTGTGCTTTTTTCTTTTAAATCTTAGTTCTTCCCTCTAACCACCCCACCCCCCTTTTTTAGTTGCTCTTCCATTGCCTTCATTCTTTTTTTTGTATCCAGAGAAATGGGTCCCCCTCTCCCCACATGTAGTTAGCAGTGTCCACTCTTGCCACTCCTCAGTCAGAGGTGCACACTTCTGTGGAGCAAGTGTTGTGTTCCCATTCAGCCATGTTTGGTGCCAAGCACTGTCACCACTATTATGCTTTTAAAAAGATAATTATTTTCTTCTTTGTTCTTCCATCTGTCCACTCCCTTGTTTCTTTTTTCTTGCTCTTCCACCTTTATTTTTTCTTGATCCTATGCAGCAAGTGCCTAACCCCTGCTCTCTTGAAGCTCAGCAGTGCCCTCCCTGTCCCTCCCTGGATAATGGGGCACCCTT